TGCAATGATCGCTCGAAAATGAACTTATTTTGGGACAAACGAAAGGATCCCAAAATGATCTTATTATGGGACGGAGGAAGTATTGAATTATGCTTAGTGTGCTGACCCATATGAAGTGATATTTTCAAAGCATGTCTAGTTTAACATATATTATTTTATCATGTCTCATGTTTATGCATAATTATCGGATGTGACCTCTCTATTCACCCAATCAACAACTCAAGATATTGGGTCGGTTGGAGCTGTTTGTTACAGATGGGGTTCCTGGTTTCATTTTAGTGGCAAAAATAGTAAGGTCTTAAATAGCTTATTTGGTTCAACTGGAATAAGTAGCTACCTTAGTTGGTTACCAGACAGATGAAGCACACATTTTTAGAAACTTTAAGCTGGTGGAGCAAGCCAGCAGCTGTATACTTCTATGCTGTCAGTTCACGCCAAAACAGTCTGGTTGGACTGTCATGGTGAAGCTCCTTCCCCCTCCTTTTTGACAGGCCACTCTACTGTGCTGGGGCAGATCTCATAAATCATGTGTGCCTGAAGAGAGCTATGCTGCTTCCCATAATGGGGGAAATGGAAACATCATGCTCTTCAAGTATTCTTAATTTGCACAACTGTATAAGCGCAGTAACATATTTTACTGGTATAGAAATTTGTTGTGCAATTTTTTTTTTCCTTATTTTTTTTTTAAAAAAGAGTTGGGTACGATAAAATTATTTTTTCCTCTGGTACTGAAATGGCTCCTTTTTGTTTCTTGCAGACACTCAGATCTCCTTCAAAGCTTATGGGACGCAGTGATAATCTTGGACAAGTGGATGCTCGGTATCCAGCCATATTATTCAAACAGCAACTAACTGCGTGTGTTGAAAAGATTTTTGGGCAACTTAGGGATAATCTGAAAAAGGAAATATCACCACTTCTTAGTGTCTGCATTCAGGTACTTGACCACTTAAAAATCTGGATGACTAATAGATATGTTGGATGCCTAGATATGCCCATACACCCTCTCCCATCTGAAAATTTTCATGTAGGCTCCAAAATCATCACGTGCACAGCCTGGAAAAGCAACCAAATCACCTGGGATTGGTGCTCAACCACCATCAAACTCCCATTGGGACAATATTGTCAAATTTCTTGACCTGCTTATGGACACTTTACATGAAAATTATGTGAGCATTTTCTTAAACTTTTTTTCTTTATCAATGGATTTATAATCACCTGGAAACTTTAATGAAGGGCTCTCCTGGTTAATCTAATAACCTAATTTCGTGTTTGCTGCAGGTGCCATCATTCTTTATACGTAAACTTATCACTCAGCTATTCTCTTTTATCAATATACAGCTTTTTAACAGGTAATTTCCTCAATTTTGAAATGTATACTTACATTTACATATAAGCAAGCAAAACAATTTACACATGGTAACCAATCAATGCTATTGAGCGAATAGTTATTCCTTGGATGATAGAATTATATCTTCATTAGTTTTGCAAATAGCATGGTCATTGCACCTTTTATTTATGATATAAGCAAAGGGCTTTTTTGACAATGAAGTGATGGAATTTTGTTGGTTAAAAGTTATAATAGGAGATGGCGGTAGAATTACTTTGGAAAAAACCAGTGCTGTATTATGTTTGAAAATTGAGATAACGTTGTAGGTAAAAATAAAACAAGAAATCCTATGGTTTGTAATGATATTAACAGTCCTTTTCCCTTTGTTCGATCAGCCTTCTTCTTCGGCGTGAATGCTGTACTTTCTCCAATGGGGAATATGTCAAAGCCGGTCTGTCATTGCTGGAGAAATGGATTACTGATGCCACGGATGAGGTAGGTGTTTGCATTCTGCTTGTGAAGTTGTTTTACACTTTGAGAAGGGACTATGAAAAGACCTGATGAAATTATTTAGCTTATCCTGCTATATTTTCTTCCTAGTTCACTGATATACCTCGTGTTCAGGGGCGGAGACAGCGTGGGGGCGTCTTTAGACCCCCCTACCCCCTAATATACCATTAGAGACTCCATAATACCCTCCTAAAATTTTAATCCATATATTTGTAGATGAGGGGCTAATATAGACTTTGTTTGAGGTTGTTAGAAGGCCCAAAAGGCTAAGAAGACCCAAAAAATCCTAACCCAACCCTAAATTTCTCTTAGTTGCTTTTGGTCATTTTGGTTTAGCTCCCGCTATAATTTTATCCTGGCTCCGTCACTGCTCGTGTTTTAGGAACTTAGGTGCAAGCAAATATTGTACATTTTATTGGGGCTCCGACTTTTTCACATTGCTTACTAGTTTATTATCCTTGTACTTTCAGTTTGCAGGAACATCTATGCATGAGCTAAATTATATCAGACAAGCTGTCGGATTTTTGGTAATTTCTTGTGCATGCTGCATTTGTTTCCATGTTTCTGTGCTTCTTTTGTATGTTTACCTAACATCTCACTAATTGCATCACACAGGTCATACATCAAAAAAGGAAGAAGAAGCTTGAGGAGATTAGGAACGAACTTTGCCCGGTAAGACTACTGCATGTATGACCTCTGATTTTGTGCATAGCCATTATTTATGCCATACCTTAACTAGTTATTTTCTGCTCCTGTTATTTGTAGAACTTGAGTGTACGCCAAATATACAGGATATGCTCAATGTACTGGGACGACAAATACAATACCCAAGGAATATCAAATGAGGTAATCTCTTTTGGTTTAGAGGCTTTCCATTTTTTAGAGATTCACTATGATTTTTTATTCTGAAAACTTTGGGATCTGGCAGGTTGTTTCTGCAATGAGGGAGGAAGTAAACAAAGATACTCAGAATCTCGTATCAAATTCCTTTTTATTAGATGACGACTTATGGTATGCGTGATTTCCTGGTTAAAATTTTACAGCCAAATCATTACTATCCTTATTGTAGAACATGCTTTACCGTCTGTTGATTTGCACTTGTATGTGATGCTTTCTTTCAGTATACCGTTTTCTACAGAGGATTTGTCAATTGCCATCCCTGCAATAGATTATGTAGATATAGAACTTCCAGAATCTCTTCATCACTATGCATCAGTACAGCTCCTACTCAAGCATCATGATCCACAGCCTGTCTAATAGTATGGTTGGGGTTGCCTTGAAGATTCGTTTATTTTTATTCCCAGGTTTTAGTGGCGTTATCTTTTGAACTGTTGTATGGTTGTTAGGCTTGTAGTCTTAAGTTTATCCGGGGGTGAAAAGGTTGTAACAGAAATGGTAGGATGTCATTTCAAAGCAACAATTGTTTCTAGGTGAAAATTAAACCACCGTGGACCCTGGGTGTCCACCTGTCCTATGTTCAGATCATCAGATGTACATAGTGTTGTAGAGACTGTTAAGCATTTGCCATGGAAAAATAACTATCTTCTGCTGCGTCAGTTTTGTTCTCGTGATCTGATGGTGCAACGGTTGCAAAAACGTAACTGCTATACTACTTTCTGGCGCTCTTCATAACAAAAGGGGAGAGAGAATAGGAAAAAAAAGAGAGCACTTTTTTCCTTAAGAAAACAAAAGCAACAATACATTTTGCTCTTTTTTTATTATTTTTTTAGAGAAGGGTATTTTCTACCCGGCCTTCATATCCAACCGGATATATACGGCCATTGAAATAGGGAACTTAGCCCCGCAAACAATCCAATCTGAAATTCGCTTAATAGGATATTTGAACTCAGGACCTTTGGGTACTACTCAGGTAACTGTAAATACATTTTGCTCTTGGGATCGAAAATAGCATCACCAAGAAAAAGAATCAAGGAACATGTTACTGCACCTCCTGCTTAGTTACCACTATGTACACTTGAAACGCTCTCGAACAAAACATATATACACTCACACAGTAATAACAGGCAAATTCTCGCACTGCGGCGCTTGCATCCATCGTTGAAAGCTTTGAGACATTTTTTTTGCATGCGGCTGCCGCTTCAGTCAAGCTACGCGCCCCTGTCCCAGCTCTGCCTCGGCGAGCCGGACACGGAGCTCCCCCTTCCGCGTGCACCGCCGACGCGACGTACCTCCTCGCCGTCCTCAACCGCGGCGGCGGGCTTCGCGCTGTCGGCCTCGTCGGACGACGCCTTCTTCTCGTCGTCCTGGGAAACAACAACGGCAGCTGCGGCTGCGGGCGCCGGCGCCTACGGGACGGTGTAGACGAAAGGCCCAGCGGGCACGTCGCCGCACGTCTGCAGGCTTCGAGCGCGGCGACGACATCGCGCATGTGTGGGCGGGACCTGGGCACGCTGTGGAGGCAGTGATACGCCACCATGGCGGCCTTGCTCGCCGCCTTGTTGGAGTATCCGCCCTCCAGGCTGGGGTCCTTCACCCGCTCCGGCCGCGCTCAGTCCACGAGATTCTGCTCCCTCCCGCCCCGCCGCCCCGTCAGCAGCTCGAGCAGCACCACACGTCGCTCTTCGCCGTCAGGTGCCCCGTCAGGATGTACTCCGGCGCCGCGTACCCGTGGGTCCCTATGACGCGTGTCGTGACGTGGGTCGCGTCGCCCTGTGGGTCCCCCCTTGGCGAGCCCAAAGTCCGAGAGCTTCGCCGTGTAATCCTGCATCGCCAACATAGATAGAAAATCACTCCGTCAGGCCACAACGTCATAATAGATAATCTCTCCCAACTAGCTAATGTGGAATTGTTGATTTGAACTTTTGTTTTGTATCGTGTCAGCTAGTCTATGTTTTTTTCTCTCTCTCTCTCTGTGTAATATAAACTAGATAATGTTCACGACTTCACGTGTGATTTTGCTACTACAAAAAATAGTACTCGATGCTGCCTGCCCTGGGCATGTGTGTTTTACGAATTAATTTGAAAATATATTGTTTATTCAATTTTTTCTTAGAAATATTCGAGATGCAAAATTTTTTACTGAAATATACCGTTGGTCTCGCATAACCATTGTGCGAAAATGACGTGGATATGATATCGCGGACGGTATCGTACGGTGGAAGTGCGAGACCAGATCTGCCAGAATGGAAGAGCGATATTTTCCTAAAGCAATGAGCGATACCGATTTAATTACCGAACGGTCTTGTGCCATGCCGATTTAATTAGCGACTAATTATCCATTAATTAATTATTAATTAAGTGCTAATCAAGATAATTAATCACTAATTATTATTAGTTAATTATTAATTAAGTAATTAATCACTAATCAAATTGAGCCGTTCGCCAGTATCTTTATTTGCTCTTCCATTTCTTAAGACTGCGCGATACCGCCCGCGACGTCATGCTCAAGTCATTTTCACGCAATGATTGTGCGAGATCGATGGTATATTTTCGTAAAAAAATTTGCATCCCAAAATTTTTTAAAAAATGATTAAATGAACATTATATTTTCAAATTTAATTATGTTTTACTCGTAGAAGGTTCCGTTTACTGTTTAGGTGGGTCATTAACTCAAGTCAAAGAGAGTGGTTAGCTTTGCAATTAATTGCTTGGACAAACGCTTGACCTGTACAATTTTACTATTCTAGAGACTTTGTAGCCACAGTGCTCATAAAACAGGCTTTGCAACAAACCAATTGTGTAATCTGGCCGGCGATCGATCGACACCAAACCGTACGGTGGGACTTAAAAAAAAATAGTCAGCATGTGTTTAAATTGTAAGTCTCTAAATTATATACTCCCTTCATCCTAAAATATTCGACGCCGTTGACTTTTTTAAATATGTTTGACCGTTCGCCTTATTCAAATTTTTTTTTTGTTAATCTAGACTAATATAAAAAGCACGAGTTGTTAAGTGCAATTAATACCGTGATTGCAATTAGCGCGGGATTAACCAGCCATTAGCACTTCCTCTTCCCAGTCGCACATCCCCATGTCGCCGCTATCCCCGCGCATGGTGGATCTAGACTAATATAAAAGCACGAGTTATCAGGACAGGTTATCCGATTCGGCCGCCATCTCCCCGGCCGCGGCCACTATCAGCGAGCGCCACGCAGCATGGCTGCCTCCCCGCCGCGATGCCTCCTCATCGCTGCGGCTCCCTCCTCGCCGCGGTTCCTCGCTGGGCGCTGCTCTCTTGCTAGCCACATGTCAGGGAGAGGGGAGAAGGGAAAGGGAGGCACAGAGCCGGAAGAGATAGAAAGCAGAGAGGGTGAGCATCTACTCCGGTGACCCCTTCCCGTGCCGCTGGGAACGACCGCCTCGCTGGTTTGGCACCTGCCCCGGTGACTTGCAGTGCAGGGAAGAGAGAGAGAGAGGGGGGGATAGAGAGAAGAGGGATGACATATGTGGGCCACGTAGATCCCATCATTTTTTATTATTTTGTGTTAGAAACTAACATGTGGGTCCCACAAGTTTTATTATTTTTCCGAATCGAATTGCTATGTAAGTGCCACGTCAGATGAAGACTGAGTCAAACTAGCCATGTAGACGCCACGCTAACCAAAACCGCCATCTAAACCGCCGAGGGACCTCGTCTGTACCAGTTTTAATAGTTGAGGAACCTGATGTATCTGGTTTTCCGGTTGAAGGACGAAAATCAGATTCGTTAACAAGTTAAGGGACCTCTGATGAATTTATTCCAATACAAAATCTGAAAATTGGGCCCGCCCCTTCCTATAGTCAAATAAGAAAACCAGAGGGGTACTATGTTGATTGCATAATGTTCTTCAGTAATATATGTACTCATTCATGACGTTGTTTCCCCGCACATAAGGCCTATGACTGGTAATAAAACACCGATTCAGCTCTAGCAGTTACAATAGAAACCATGTTGTATTCTTGCTACTAACGCACTAGAAAGTAGCACATATTTTGTGTGCATTTATAGGTTATTTCAACACCAAAATTTACACCAACACACAGACTCAACTAGTACACAATGAAATCCGCATGACGCTTATTTGCATAGTTGCTCAAGGGAATGCTGAAACAAATGCAGAGAAACAAGTTCGATATGTGCAAGAACTAACGAGATTTATTTATTGGCAGTTGGCTCGGGAGATTTGGCGAGTTACCCCCGAGTTAGCTTCCCCTTTCAAAACCAGCAACTGTACATTCTCAGAGAGCCCAAGTCTTCAAGCACTTCAGATCCTTGCTGAACCTGTAAACTTGACAAGGCGAGACACTGATCGTCCCAACCTGATCTCCATAGTGCAGCTTGATACGTGAATTCTGGCTGCTGCTGGACCAAAGCAGAGCTTCATGGAGGCTACCTTCCTCCCACCTGATGTTGATGGTCACACCGCCTCGGGCCTTGAGACCTTTCACACAACCTTGAGGCCACTTATCACGGGGTAAGGCAGGGAGCAAGTACAAGTCGCTCCCGGTGCTCTGTACCAGCATTTCTGACAGTGCAGCAGGGAATCTGTAATAGAACAATTAGGACATGCATAAACTGCATTAGAAAGTGAGCAGATGTAACTGTTACTTCCTCCGTTTCATAATGTAAGTCTTTCTAGCATTGCCTACATTCATATAGATGTTAACTGTTTCTCCCTGCCTTACATCCATATAGATGTAAGTCTTTCTAGACACACATATATATTTAGATTCATTAACATCTATATAAATGTGGACAATGCTAGAAAGTCTTACATTATGAAACGGAGGGAGTATTAGGGCTCTTTATAGCCTGGCATAATTTTCTGGCAGTTTGTTTTAACTTCTAAGATGGCAGGTCAAAGAGAGGTGTAATTCCATAATGTTTCTGCATGGTTAGTAAGGTTCTAAATTATTGATGGAGCTAGATAATCAGGTTTACCCAAAATTTGCATCAATTTGGAAAGGTGGGTGTGCTGTGAACAGATTGCAGTATAGGCCTCCTTCCTTTTCAACCTCATGTTTTGGATCTACCAAAGTGATCAGCTGAAGAATCATTTTATATGCATGCTCACTGTTATGAAGATGGGCCCAAAGGGCCATCTTCCAGGAAGTGGACCACCCAGGACCTTCATCACCTAATGAGTGGATGACAAGTCAGATCTCATGGCAGAATAGACTGAATTGGAATTGTTCTTAAAACAGATGTTTGAGAAAGTCGTTGAATGTATACAAGGTAAAAGTTTCTAGCACTACAAGTGTCAAGAAATCATTAATAACTATTAAAGACTGGTTTCCTATCCAACTGAAAAGTAAGATTAACATTACTTGAAAACTTGAATACGACTATACGAGAGAACATTTACTGTGTCACCAGATAATTCGATAGTTGAAACATGTTGTCCAAATGAATAAGGTGAGGAGCCTTTGCAAGTAGGATGTGAAAGCGCTTTATGACTTCAAACAGAACTATTCTAACGTTTAGTATTCCTAACGAACAAAGGCACTTAGCTTAAGTCTTTTCTCTTCTTTTAACTCTCTCGAATTTTACTCCCTCCATCCACAAAAGTTAGATATATTTCACATTTGAGTTTTCCAAATAAGTTGTTCATATTTGTAGTCTTTAT